GCATCTATTTGTGATAGTGAATAATTATCTTTCAGCAAGTTTAGTTCAAATTTGTGAAATCAACATACATCCACCACTTACCATTAAACGTTGAGAACATCACCATAGTTGTGGCCCACTATGGCTACTAGACTTCTTGGATAAATCTTGTGTCAAGCAGCTTTTGTACTTATGGATAAATAGGCTTCTTGAATGTTACGATGACTGGCAACTTCCTCTAATTAATAGGTCTAACTCATGCGTCGAAATTGATTCTAGGGCATGCGATATCAATATTGAACACTGGCATTTGTCTCTTGTCCAAGACACAACATCTATGTTTCCACAGAGAACTACAACCAGCTCTCCTCTTTTCAGGAGTAAAAGATTGTGCCAAATTAGAAGGTTCTTCTTGGTTAATCTTCCACGATTTGGGCTTCCTCAATGACCGCATACATCTTTAGACCACTTCTTCTCTTTACATCAATTTGAATGATCTCCTCTTGCACACTTCGTACAATCTGGTTCATTATCACAGACACTCTTAAAGAGGATATTCAAAGTACTCTCCATGCTTATGAGAATATTATCAATTTGATAATTTGTTAACCGGGTCATGACCATAATAATGTTATTATAAGAGTTCCATTTGGTAGGTAAGTCAATGTCTGTGAAGGTGGTGGGTGGTTGGCCAACCACCGGTGGTTGGAATGAGCTCACCAAGTTTATCTAGCCCGATAAAAATTGCTTAAGGCTCGACTAACAAGAAGCCTTAGGCTAGTCTCCATAAAGCATGGTTGAGACTATTGCTATGTGAATGGACTATGTTAGGACAACCTCATTGCAAGCTTCTTCAAAAGTACCTTAACCTATATCCAAGTATTTGACCCTTGTGCAGTGAATTCATTTAAGTTTATTTCTCTGATTAACTCATTAATCATGCTTCTCAGTACACACAATATCTCTGAGTCACACATGTGGTCCCCAGCCTTCATGGGTGATGGCTTTTAGAAACACTCATTATTTTGGATGTTCATAACTATTTTGACCAATGAGACTCTCATCAAAGTTGTGGCAGGTGGATCATAGATTGGAGTGGCCTACCTCCTCATTACTTAATGATTGACTTACCTCTCGTATTGAGTTCTTCCTTCAATATGACACATTTAGTGCTCCTGGAAATGAGCTTGCTCTTAAAAAGGAAAAGTATAGTGCTTCTCAAATTTGAGCTTCATCAAATGCTCCGCATGGTGGCTTCCTTCCCCTTGGTTGAATTGGAAAAAATGTTTCTTTTGACCCGTGATGCTCCTCAAGCTAAGATGTGATTATTAGTCAACTCTAATAAATCAATTAAGGTCTTCAGCTTTACAACTTGAGATTGTAGTAGAAAATAACTTATCTCAATCCTTAGGCAAGTGAAGCATGCATGACAATAGGCTTAGGATCTCTAATGCTAACATCTCCTTTTGAAAGAAGATAATGAAGCTCTTAAAAGGCTCTCTAAATTTCTGGAAAATTTGTAATGCCTAAAAACTCTTATAATTTTTGTGCACTAGAAAATTGTAACAAATATGTGCTTGAAATCGGCAAAAGAAGTAATCATTCATAGTGACAAGATGTTAGACCACTGCACAGTTGACTCTTAAAAGAAAATTAACACTTCAAAATATTATTTATTCATAATAGGCCTTGGCAATCTCTCTAGAAATGATATTCCACAACTGAAATCTCCTCTAGGCTCTTTCTCGCCTTCTATCTCTTCCATAATCAAGAGAGAAACAAATGTTATTAGGGTAAAAAGTTTTGTCTTCATTTGTCAGAATGGATGACAGGTTCTTCTTATCCCAGTAGTAGATGCACTCCTCTCTTCCAATGTTGATTATGGAGAAGCAAAGAGTACTTGCACCCTCGATACTACTCTTACAATATGTTTTGAAGTTTCTCTTATATATATCGTCACCATCATTTTCTCTCTAAGCACACTTATCTATTGTTATAAACTCTATGGTACACTCCATGTTTGTGGAGAATACTCTATTACTTGGTTTCGCTCATTATATAACTTTCTTCTTGTTTGTGAAATGTGTTTCATGTTCAGTGCACATTTTATGTTGTTGAACCTAGATTTAGGGTCTGTTTGGTGCAGCTACAACTTTTTTAATAAGCAGATGTGAAGCTGCTGTTCAAAAAGTTATTCAAAAAGCTGTTGTTCAAAAAACTAATGATCAAAAAGCTCTGGTGATTATTACAATTTTTTTTTAAAAAAAGTCAGACCATAGCTTTCTAGCAACCACCGTAGGTAGTCAGGTCTGGTGGGAAAAAATAGTTTTCAGCTGCAGCTTTTTGAAAACACAGACAAAATGCAGTTTTGTCAAACATAGAAAACGTCGGTGTTGTGTCACACCTCCACTGCACCGCCTTAAATACACTCTTAGTGACAAACTCACACCATCAAAGAAAGAGTTAGAAAGGATAAGCCCAAAGAATCAAAAGAAAAAAATGAGAAAAAAATGGAGCTTTGAATATCTAGGGAAGCAATCTCTCACCTCCCATCACTCTAATGTTGCTATTCTTATTTATAAATAAGTTGAACTAAGATACATTACATGCAATAAACAATCCAATCAATGTGAATACCAAGAGATATGATTTACATCTTTATTGTCTTTTTCTTGGACAATATCAAGATAAGGCATATATAGTAGCCACCTTATGCCCCTCTTGACCTGCATTTTCTAGTGTGCACGTTTTTATAATCTCTTCTTTGTAATGCATTTCCTTAGTAAATATTCTCCAAATAAGTAAATCTTCTTCTGCATTCGGTTACTGATAACACTTTTGTCATCCTATTCAGCTCAAAGGCAAGTTGGGGAACTTGTCGTTTATTTCACCTATTGTGCCTAGTCAGGTTGAATTGTTTCGGTAGACAGCGTTGGTCGATCACTCTGCATGAGCCTTCAGGATGGGTATTCTAGTCTAGTTGTCTTGCAGGATCGACTACTTGGCTCACATCACAACATGAAACCCAAATTAGGGGCTTCGGCAATACACATTGTGTTCACCCATTTGCTTAGGGTTTGTTTGGGGCAGCTGCAGTTAAGTTGCCCCAGGAAGCTGCTACGGGGAAGCTTACTTCCTGTTTGTTGCAGTTGTGAGACAGTTGTTTCTGAAAAAATGATCATTCTACCCCTATTTAGTAAAAGTGTTTAAAACGGAACTATGACAGCCACATATTTGATACTTCAGAAGTAGAAATTTATTTTAAAACAGAATAAAAGTTCGAATACACAACTTACTTAACAGTGAGTACCTAAAGTGCTAAAGAAAAAGAAAAAAAAACTAATAAAATTAGAGCATATCCGGATCCAAATTGTCCCCATCAAAAATTCTTTTCAATGATACAAAATATTGTGATAAACTAAATATTGCCAATTAAACATTCCAAAACTAAACTATTCAAATATAATCTACCCTTGCTTTGACGACCCCTAGAAACACAACAAATTAACTGAAACCCCCAATCCACATTGAATATATATACAACACCTTAACTCTAACTCTAGCTCAAATAGCATATAATAAGTTCATTTCAAAACCCTAAATCAAAAAAGTGAAAAATAGAAATAGATATTCAATTAAAACCGCACATTCTACTCAAAATCGGCTACGCCACCTTCTTCCATCAGCAGTATCTTCCTCCCAAATAGCTTGATCGTTGGATCTCTCCCCTCAGACATACCTTCTTGTGCCCTAAGCTTCATCTTCTACCTCGCGCCCCCAAGTCGAGCAACGAGCTAGGCAGCTTCGAGGGAGTGCGGGCGGCTTCGAGGGGCGGGACGGCTTCGAGGGCTTCGCGAGGGAGGGCAAGGCAAATAGGTCAAAGTCGATCGATAACATGGGGACGCGGGGTCGATCCCGCGATCTGAGTTCCGCCTATTTTAGTGGCGGGCGGCCGCGAACGCGGCATCCAAACAAGAATTTTTTTTTCTTAGCTTCGCGGATTAGGGCCGCACCGCGCGAAATACGTTGTCCTAAACGGAACCTTAATGTACGAATTGAATATGAACTTCCTAAATTTCCGAACACAAGTCATTCACAAATGACAAATTTCTAACAATCAATATCTTATAACATATTGATTATCATAAAAGCAAGGATATTCTAGAGAGGTTTTCTCTCAATGTGCATCATATAAATTAATGGATAATTATTGAATCTGCAAAAGACAAAAAAGCTATATTAATATAATTAGCATAATCAATGACGCGCTAGTCAAAGAAACAACAAACATGTTTAGTGACCAAAATTCACTCAATAACTAATTGATGCAGTTTCATTAAGGAAACAATAATGGCCAAACATGTATAATTGATATATTTTAAGTTAAGATACCATTCCCACTGCCAGTGAACTCAATTATCATCATCAATGTATAATTAAGCACATGAAAGCCTACCTAATCACATGCAAAACAAAAAAAAAACAATAAGTAAATCAAGCCCGAATCTCAACAAGTCAAAGTTTGATCCAGTGAAAGAACAGAGCTTCCATTATTTCCTGTCATGTACATAAAAGAAAAAGAGTATTTGGTCCTACTTTAGTGCTGGGTAATTTGAAACTGCGAAAAGTCTGTTTGGTTATGCTTTCTTTTATAGTTCTCATTTATCTCCATCTGAAGATTTGCACATGTTTGATCAGCTCTTAACAGTTTGTTAAAAGCAGACCAACAGAAGTAATAAACAACAAAAGCCTACAAATTGAAATAAGGAAAAGCAGCTGATTTCTTTTCCTACTTTTAAAATAAGTTCTTTTCATCTTTATGTCCTTTCCCTTATGTTATTGTCAAGAGGAATGTAAGCCACAGCAAAAATTCCTAATTCAGCTTCACAAAAATAAGAAGGAATAAGTAAATCTAATGGTAAGTGTTAATATTCCATTACAAATATGCTCATGTACATGGAGTGTGTAAATCTGGAATTAATAGTCGTTAAGATTGATGAAGATGTCAATGGGAAACATGATTTATATGCACTTTCCTGGAAATCATAAATGCCCTTCTTCCATTCTCTGAAGTTGCTTCACTTTTTTCTTAGGGAGGAGTACATGTTCTAGAGGTGGTAGATCCAGGCTGCACAAAGGAAAAGAATTGACAACAATAAAGGCATTCATTTTTTTATTTTTTTAATTTCTTAGGGCTTGTTTGGGATCAAAGTTATTTTTTATTTTGTTTTTTTGGTTAATTCCTTTGTTTTTAAAATATGCTTGTTTAAAGTGTTTTTAACATTTTTTTTTGTTTCTAAAAACAAATAAACATATTTTTTAAAACACTCAAAATAACTTTTCAGGTGTATTGAGTGTTTCTAAAAAATAATCATATCTAAATCAAACATACCAAACATGTTTTGTTTTAAATTAAAATATAAACAAACAAAATAAAAACATAAAATATAAAATATAAGTGATCCCAAATAGCATGTTACAACCAATTTTTAGAAATAAGGGAAAAATTTTGGCCATTGGAAAATAAACTTCAAATTTTGAATCACTCAGAACTCACCAAATCAATTTTATCAAACTTTGCACATCGAATTGATCAATTTGAGATACAGTAATAAATATGAATTATGAATATAATGGGAGATATAAAAATAATCATATTTTGACTTAATTTAACTAATTTATCATCTAATTATTCTCCCTAATCCACATGCAGTTGTGAGATGGATCGAATGACTAAGATTAAATGGGATTACATTAAATTTTTGGTTTTCCCTCATTCTCCCCTCACCCTCATTTAGTTTTGTGGGTCTGTTGGGTTCTGTAACTTTATCCCTGTAACAGGAGCGCAACCGACAAGCACAGTGCTGAAACTTGCGGCTTGAAGCTCCCGGGAGAAATCTGAAAGTTAGGAAACCCTTTTTTATGATATTTCCAGATATTCATTTTCTTTCATATGTTTTCATTTTGATATTTGTCATGAATCAGTGCACTTTTTCAATTTCAGTTGTTGTAACAAGAGACAAATTTGCGTCGAAGATTTTTTTGGGCTCTTTATGGGCCACCATCAACAGGAATTCAGCAAAGCATAAGGATAAAGGGAGTGTTAAAAGGAAGCTCCCGGGCGATTTAGTTATACCAGTTCATCACCCACTGGATTATGATTTTGCAAATTAGGACGAATGCTAGTAAGAATTTAGTCTGACCGAATCATTCATCTCTATCACAGCGCATTTGAATTTTAACAGGGGTTGGGGGCTCAATTGGAGTGTGGCACAACCCCTTAGAGGTTAATGAAAAATTCTTACTACAAATATTTAGCCAGTTTTTCTAAAAAAATTGGTGTCCAGTGTTTCTTAGCGGGTCACTTTCTATGGAGAAACTATGTATGTAGATCTCCCAATTTCACTCATGTAATAAAAATTTCATTCTACTATATGGTATGTCACCCACATATCCCCTCAGGTAAACCATGCAGTACAAAGTTTGGAGGATAAGCCATCAGGATAGATCAGAATTTGTATTCCTAACTTAGTTTAGGCAGGTGTTATTTCAGCACATTTCCAGAGAGCAACAAGACAGCCCTTTGCTATGCGTTTTTAGCTCTATAAGATAATTTTTTATCAAAGATGTGAAGGTTTCCCATACTCTTTTTTCTTTTATCAGACTTGATAGATTCATCATGTAAATGTCTAGTAGCATCTCTTTTATACTTTTTACATTCTAGTTTAAAGCCCTTGCAATATTTTAAGGAAATGAACAAAGTAACATGGCTTTGTATAAAATGCTTTATTCCAAGATATGCAGTAGTGGAGCCATAATGAAAAATATCAACATTAATTTGTTGCTTTTGAAAGGAGCCATATCCAGTTGCCCACATAACCATTGAAATCAACTTACATGTAAATTTATTCAGAATTGTAGCATTTTTCATATTCTTAATTGCACCTAGGAGTGTAAATGAGCCGAACACGAGCGAGCCCAGGCTCAGCTCTTGTTTGGCTCGTTTATATTTCGAGCTCAAAAAGTGTGTTCATGTTCGGCTCGTTTGCTTAGCGAGCCGAACACGAGCCGTCACGAACAAAGAGTCATTTTGACAACTCTAATCACGTAGCCATAAGATGTTAAGGATTGGAGCAAGATTTAAAATATCATTTGAATCTAATTTAATATTTTCTTATTCTATTTTCATCAGTAATAGTTTTAATTGATTATAAATCTTTGTAGCTTTGAAATGAATTAATTTTTTTAAAAATACTAATCTTCAAAGATACATATATAATTGATTAGTAGCATTTCGAGCCAAAATGAGCCGAACACGAACGAACAAATATTGTTCGTGTTGTTCGTGTTCGGCTCGTTAACTTAATGAACGAGCCGAACACGAGCGAGCTCAGGCTCAGTTCGTGTTCAGTTCGTTTATATTTCGAGCTCAAAAAGTGTGTTCGTGTTCGGCTAGTTTGCCTAGCGAGCCGAACACGAGCCGTTCATGAACAAAGATTCATTTTGACAACCCTAATCACGTAGCCATAAGATGTTAAGGATTGGAGCAAGATTTAAAACATCATTTGAATCTAATTTAATATTTTTTATTCTATTTTCATCATTAACAGTTTTAATTGATTATAAATCTTTGTAG